AGTTGATTAAAGATAGCACGTTCAAGGGTTTTGGACAAAAATGGGAAGAAGAGAGACCGGTCTGTAGTTGTTTTCTTCAGATGGGTTGAGGGTGGGTTTCTTCAGGAGAGGGTTGACTCTTGCCTCCTTCAGAGAATTGGAAAAACAACCAGATAACAGAGCGTTGTTGATGAGACAGGTGAGGAACGGAAGAAGGTCAGGTGCGATAGATTGTAGAAGATGTGATGGAATGGGGTCAAGAGGGCAGGTGGTCGGACGGGCAGAGGTTACTAGGGTAAGAATTTGGTTAGGAGAGAGGGCGGTGAAAGAGGAAAGTGAGGGCGAAAGAGGCGAGGTCGGTGGGACGCGAGAAGTAGGAGGTGGGTTTGAGAAGGAGGAGCGTATGTCAGCTATTTTCTTGGTGAAGTAGTTGACAATATACAATATATATTGTAGCCTACCAGTTGAATCAAAATACATATGTAGATAACTGTCAATTTAAGTGAATAAAGTGGCATTGAATAACATCTCAGCAGTATTCGTAGAAATCGAACTGAATACATTAAAAAAGTTATTTAAAATGCAATGCAATAATTACTAATATTAAAATGCATAACAGAAGTTAAATTCAGTTCATTCAGGGTGATGTGATGTGCTGCAATGTATTATATACGGTGGCCCTGAAGTGCAAAACACAACGGCAAATAGGAAAACACAACGACATTAGCTTCTTACGGAAAGGGTCGGGCCTCATAGCAGGAAGCAAAGGACGGACCCTTCTGATTGGACAGACGGACTGTCGCTCTTTTAACCCTCTTAATCCGAAGCCTTTTCGCCGGCGACGGAAAGTGACATGGAGGATTAAAATTACTGTGACTCCTTAACTATTTGCATCGGATTCTGAAAGCTGAGAAATGCCCCTTTCTAGATATTCTGTCAATCAATAAATCAAAGGCGGGACTGAGAACCTGTGATGAGGGGGGAGTGACGCAGCAGGAGAGCCGCAGCAGAAAGTCACGGAGAGATGGCGATGTTTTACCAGTGTCTTAAAAGTGTCTTAAAAGTGTCCTACTAGTGTTTCCCCATTGTTCCCCACTGTTTTGTTGTTCAATTATATTTAGGTGTTGTAATAATAAGGGGGGGGGCGGACGCTACGGCCGACACGGCTCGGGAACCGGAGTCCGTTTCCTTGGCGTGGGGAATTGGATGTGTGGCGGGAGTGCGTGACTGTCTCGCTCAATGCGTGACACTTGAGAGCCCTGTGTCATTTCCTATTAAAAGACAGATAGCGCGTCTGTCCAATCAGAAGGGTCCGTCCTCTGCTATAAGGCCCTACTCTTTCCGTAAGGAGATCATTTCGTTGTGTTTTCCTATTTATCCATTGTGCGTTCCTATTTGCCGTTGTGTTTTGCACTTCAGGGCCACCGGAATATTCTCCTCATCGTCTATGAGGAGAAAAGTTTCTACAGCGATCTGCGGTAATGATAAGCGTCTAAACTTGTTTTAGCTCCATCTCTTCTCAACAATATTGTGGAGTGAATTAGTGAATTAGTATTGGGCTTTTAGTTAATTTTCTGTGCCTTCATTTTGGATGTGTCTACGTTTGATAAAGAGAGTAGTTCTTTGTCCTGTAGTGGAGCTTCACGATGATTGTGGCTTCTAATGTTAGATTAAAAAAAAGCACTAAAAGACAGCCAGCTAACGCTAGCAGATCTGCCTTCAAACGGCTATTTATCGTGTTCCTTTCATCCGTGGTAGTTTTACATGGGGGTTGTGTCCCTTGACTTCTTATTTTATCACTGTGAGGTTTCCAGGCAACCAGAATATCTGTATAATTAGAGATCCCTTAACATAAGGAGGAGGAAATGTGTTTAAACCATAAAAAAACAAAACATTCGTTAGAGGTGAAGAGTGGATCGTCTGTGTTACTGTAAGTGACCTGATGATGTTACAGCTCTGAAGGTGCAGCACGCTTATGAGGTGAAGAGCAAAGGCCAGGGGGCAACGGCGCAGAATCTGATCCTCTTAACCCTGGTGCTATGTTGTTAAACTGGACGAGGCCCTACAAGGAAACCTTAGGACCCCATCTGGTGACATTCAGGATTCTCTTCTGCTTCGACTTAATAACATATATTTATGTTCCAACAAACGTCACCAGATTGGCTCCAGATAAACAGTGGAGGAGACGGGGTGATAACACAACGAGACCACAGCCTCAATGGACATTATTTCCATTTCAAGACCAGCATGTCTCATACGTTCAGAGACCCTGACCAGCGCTAGCTGTACTTCCATAGGCGAGAGTGACATGGTGATACCATCACAAAGAGAACCAAACCTTTAAAGAAAGGAACCGTGCTGTAGAACAATAAGAACTGAGGCTTGATTTGAGCATGCAGTATTAAAGGACAGTGGGCTTTGAAATATACCCACAGCTCCTCTCAGATAAGAACTTCAATGTCTAAAGATACAATCTTTGCAAAATATGGCCAATCTTATCCTACAGTTTCCGTCATGTAGGTAAAAATGTGATCTTACATTTGAGGCAAAATGAGTCCAAAATCATCCTAAATGCCGTGAAGAATTATGAAAGTTCTTCATCTGAATCCATGCTACTTTCCCCTCTTTAGAACTGCCCAATAAATGTGCACATTTTTATCCTGAAACTCCGAGAACGCCTCTTAATAAAAGACCGCTTTTTTGTGTTTATTAACTAGTTTCTTTAACAGCGGGCTCTGTGTATTAATACTACTGGATTTGCTACACACTCATCCACACGATAAAAAAGGCAGAGCAGTACATGCGCCATATATTTTCATTTTCATCCCTCCGTGCCAGCAACGGCTCCGGCCGGGGGAGTGATCGTTCTGGTCCGGCTCATAGATCATCTCAAAGGCTAAATTTCTCCTCTAAGGAGCGACAGATTAAACCCAAGATTAACATTTGATTTGTTTCCAATTCATCATCTGCTCAGAAAGATTTGATGATTACAGGTCTGAACATCAAAAGGACCACAAACCACTTCCTTCATTAATTAGATAGATTAGTTTTTTATTTCCGTCAATGCCTTTTTTCATGGACTCTGCTGAAGTTACTGAGAGCTGATTTGCGTTACATCATTTCAGTTTTCCCCGAAACCTTAAGCACAATCGACATTATCACTGTTCAAAAGACCCCTCGGTCATATTCTGGGATGTTAATCGCTGATTTCACATTCAGAAGATCAATGAAAACACAACGAGTAGCTAACACAGAAAAAGCATCCTGCCGATAGAATTGGAAACAGATCTCGGCTTAAATGCAGAATGCGACACGTGCAGCTTCGTGTGCAGGTGTTTGAGGAACACACTGCTGCTCGGGCATTCATAGCTGTGTGTTTCCACTGTGCACACACACACACTCCAGAGGAAGACTGGATGCAATTTTAAGATTGACTCCAGGATGAACTGAATCAATTTTAGGGTCAACTGTGGAGGTCAGCGCGTCCGTCCGTCTCATTGTCGTAAAAGTCAAGAAAGGCCTTGAGGGGATTTTTTTTATTTGGCTCACGCGGCCTGCAGGACTCAAGGACGGACTCCCAGAACACTCAATAATGAACATGCTAATTTTGACATACAGTACATTTCTCACAGGATGAAATAATGACATGATGTTTCAGACTGACGTGGATAAAAACTGCCATTTCACTGCTTGTAGGAGGAATACAAGCATTAAGAACACTACTGCCATTTAAATACCGGTGTCATAAAGAGGTTTCATATAATGTATAAGTAACCCATGAGATGTACTCCCACTTTTCAAGGAGGGTCCTCAAACAACAATCATACAAACAAAACTGATTGTTAATTGATACAAATATGAGCAAAAAAATGGATATAAAATACTAAGACATTCAAAATGAACACGTTAATGTTAAACAATAATATCAGTGGTAGCATTGAGTAAAGACGTTATAAGATGGGAATTCAAAACTGATTCTTTAATAAGAACGACGGTATTGATCCCATATTCATAGCTATTCCAATCAGAGACAGCTTTAAACATAAAGGCTTTCTTAAAAAAGGAGCTTTAACGAGCGCCTCTACCGATTTTTTGTGAAGAAAGCGATGACGTCATTGATTCAGATCATAAATGCATCAGCTTCTGAAGGCCAGTCGACCTGCCTGTATGAGAAGCTGCTCTGCCGGGGCCCTTACAGAGCTCCTCACCCGGAGCCTTCACATGGAGACAGAACCTTCCCACGGCGGCCTTTTACTGATACTCAGCTGTTGACCCATCTTCACGTAGTATATCTGTACAGCAGCATGGACCGGCCCTCCTCACCGGCGCTGTGTTTGTTTTTTCACAACGGCCAAAGACATTTTGAATTCAGCGGTCCCTTTTTGTAATTCTGTCTCCCCCTTCCACCCCCCCCTCTCCCCTACACAGCTGATTCAGACTCTGAAGAGGCTGCTGGGACCCTCCTCCGTCGACTTCAAGTCCCCACTAGAGCTGTCTGCAGAGGGTGAGAGCACACACACACACACAGTGCAAACAGCCTTACCTGTGCGCTCGCTAAATGTTAATTGCGGCCATTAATCAATGGCCATGAGCCGCTGAGCAGCGGAGAAAGCGCGTTAGAGAACACGAGCAAACGTGCAGGCGTAAACTCGGCATCCCCTCATCGCTCATTTTCTCGACGTCCATCAATGCGGTGCTAATTATTTTCCCATTAAGATGTTGTTATTGACCTCCGTGTGTTTTCCCATCCATTATTGAGCCACAGAAGAAGCAATCAGCACGTAATGTTTTTCATTAATATCACTGTCCTGGTTGTGATCAAGTGGAAGTTTATTATTGCTTAATATCAATGTCACAAAGCCTCAAAGGCCTGCACATTAAATAAAACCAGCAATTAGCAACATGTAGAGGTGAGATAAACGACATACATAGCATTGCGAAGAGGAAATTAGACACATTAGACACAATACAATTAGCAGCATTAGCAAGAATGAGTCATTGGATTAAATTCATCCATATATATTTTACTTAGAGCTCAATAAATCCAGTAAGATTCATCACCTGGGAACCATGAATGTCCGACGATCCATCGCATAGTGCAAATAAGTCCGTCTGGACCGACTGGCAGTTCTTATTGTCACACCATGTAAATTAAATAAATAATACAATATATAAATTTTCATTTGGATACAAAATGGATCATATGCGTCATAGCTTATTCATCATGCAAAACATTCACTGTTCCAGGTGTGTTGTCATTTCAAAAAGACAACCTCCTAAAATCACCAGGCATGTCCTTTATTTTGAAAATAACCAACGCTATGACCGATGACGCCGTGACAGAAACGCTTCCCCAGCTGGATCTCGCTGCAGCCGCAGTCGCAGTATCGGCAGCTGAATTGATAATGCGCACATTTCATCCATAATGTCACGGTCACTGAGTACCTTTGCATTGATCCCCCAACATCCATCACCAGCGAAACCTAAACAGAAAGTAAGACCTACTTTAACCTCACGGAATGCCTTAATAATACACAGGACACATACCTCAGTATTTTATGAGGTACGTGTCCTATTTTATTATTTTTAATAGTAAAAGGGCCTCCCAGCTGTGGCAAGAATTGTCGCCATTTCTTTGGTCAGTTTTTGTAGCCCAGAAATAAGAGGCTCGATTTATGAAAAGCTGCTTAATCCAAACATGCTGGTTGCATTCCTGTCCTTCCAAGCGGAGTGCTGCCAAACAATAAAGGCAACCGAACATTACGTTACTTTACTATATTAGTGAGATATACTGAAATATTTTGGTTGTATTGTTTAGCTTTGAGTGTTATCGCCTGTTGGGCTTATTCAGCTTATAGTGTCCTAATGATCATCAAAGATGAACAACGTGTGTACCTGGAAAGGCTCCAGCGGAGAAGGACCAGTGCGATATGCTGCTTTAAAGAACCAAACTACTAATGGACAGACGGTTGTCCATGAATATAATAATGCCAGGATGCCTGTGGTGACTGTGGTGAGTTCAGGGTCTCGGTAGAAGTGCACCCTTGAACCTTTCCTCCTGTGTTTTCCCCCCCGGCTGCAGGCAAAGAGATGATCGAGATGTACTTTGACTTCCGTCTGTTCCGCCTGTGGAAGAGCCGCCAGCACTCCAAGCTGATGGACTACGACGACCTCCTGTGACCCGACGCGCGTTCTGTCGGCTTTTGAAGCAGTTATCTCACGTGCGAGCCTCGCTGTTCGGCGGACGGGGCGATTTGGTTGAAGGGACCCGTCCCGGGAGTCTCCCAGACGGGGCTCCGCGGGCGAAGCTGGAGCGGTTTACCAGCGCAGTTTGGGTCTTTTTGCCTACCCCACCCCCCCCCCCCTCCACTCCTCCCCACTCAGAGGCGACAAGGCCTTTTCTCCCATCTCCATTTTCACTTTCTGCCTTTCTCCCAGAGGAAAGAGAAAGGCGCGGGGACACGAGGAGGGACGGGAAGCCAGAGACACGTCTTCCTGATCGTGTCAGGAGATGCTAACTAGGGTTCGGGGAGGACGTCACACAAAGGAGTGATGACTGAGAACAGCAAAGACTTTTTTTCTTAGCCCATAGGCGACCCACCTGCGCTTTAAAGATGGAGGCGTAGGCGAGGATGAAAGTATTATCTTTGTCAGGCGTAGAAATGATTCACAAGGGGATTAGAGCTTATATGTAAATAAACAAGTGCTTACTTGGAAGCCTTAGAGAATAGATATCCAGCATCTCTCTCCACGCTATCGTGTGAAAATCTAGACTAATCTAGTCAAATTTACAGTCGTCTATCTAACACTGTTTCTTTCTTTTTTTAAACAAATACACGTCGTGTGTTTGGTACAGACTGTTGTATGAACTCAGGTTGAATCCCTCGTTTGATACTAAGAATTGTACTCGCCGTTGGCAACATACTGTAGAGCAGAATCCAAGGCCTTCTTCGCCACACACAGTCATCCTCAGCGTCCGGGGTGTCTTATTTTACCTGCGCGCGCGCGCGCGTGTGTGTGTGTGTGTGTGTGAAGCGCCGAGGCGTTTTTCTATGTTTCCACGTGTTCTTTTGAGCCGACTGTAGCCGAACTGAGGGATGCGTCCGCGCGCGGTTCGTGCCGTTCTCAGCATTACGCCGGAGACAGCCGGAGCTGCTCTTTCCTGAGACGCTTTTGGCGCGCTGATGCTTTTTTGGCGTGTTTGTGTCACGTGTGTGCGTCCACAGCGTGCTGGAGGCTCGTTGTACCTTGGCAGTGTCTCTTTAGTAGATACAATAACACACTGGTGACGCGAATATTCCATTTTGTTTCAACACTTGTTTTGCTCTCAGTGTTTTAGGATTTTTTATTGAAGACTTAAATCACTCAAAGTAGCAAAGGACGAGTTTAGGGGATACGTTGCTATTTTTTCTTATCCTAACCGATATACTAATTAAACCGTGTTGTGGCGTTTCAGTGAAGAGTTCATCTCTAATATCCATTTCAATTTATCAGGATATTTTTGTTAAGAGATGAAATTACCTGCAGTTTGTGCATAATAGCCTTTTTAAAAATGGAAAAATACACTGCGGCAATTTAGTATTTCACTGTCAGAAAGACTCGGATTATCATCTTCATTTCCCATAATGCAACTGGATAGCAAATTTGTGTTGCCCTCCGTGCCTGGTAAATATCCATTTCTTTCAACCCTAATATCTGTGACATCCACGCACACTTCAGTGGACTTTTCTCCCCTTTTCATGTGGACAGATCTTCATCTGAAGTACAATCATTTGATAGAGAGGCCTTTAAAACTTTACCAGGCCGATCCTCCATCGCATTAGACAAGGACCAATGTCCCCCTTTTTAAAACAACTGCCAGTTATTTGAAAGGAAGTATTTCTCTATTCACACTAATGATAAATAACTAGCTGTGAAAAACTAACATTGAAAGCTCTGGGGCTCGCGTCACATTTAGAAGAGTGTACTTGCTGGTATCATAGGACATGAGTGACGTTCTCAAGCTTGTACATACACGGTAAAAGTCTTTTTGTGTGTGTGTGTGTCCATGTGAGATTTCTTGCATAGTTATACAACATGTATCATTCATGCACATATGCTTCCTAACTTTATACCCTCGGTTCCCTGCACACCGTGACTGTGTGCGTCACCGCCCGTCACCGGCTGAGCGCTTTCCGTGTCTTGTGTTGTTGTTGTTGTTGCTGCTTCCTGAACCGTGCAAGTCAACCGAGCTGCAGGAATCGTTCATTGCGTCGGAGTGCTGGAGGACTCAGGATGGGGCATCCAGGTGCCAACGCTGTTTATCATAATGTATAAGGAGAGCTTCTGGTCCAAAATGGGACCTTTTGAAGTATTTGGACCATCTCCCTATTACCGGTGAGGATGTAAAGCGTCCCCTAGTAACCGTCTTAAGAACATCACGTCATAGTGTAACTGCTTCATACAACGGGAAATCATCCCTGCTGTGGAACAACTTGAAGTGAAATGTTAAACGGTCTAAGATGACTGAAAAGGTTTTTGGAGCGGAGCACTCTACGTTTAATTATCTTACTATCATTGTTTGAAGAGCATGTGTTTTTTCTTCTGCAAATGATTGTGTCACTGTAAATTATGATTTGGTCTCTGGTGGTGGTTTCGCAGTGCAGTCCACTCATCTTAACACAAAGTAGCACGTTGCACTACATCACTGTCAAATAAACTCAGATCATTACATGTAATTACTGTTGTAATTAAAACTAGGACAATAGTGGTACACAAGTAGTGAGAATATACTTTATTTGACATCATTTTTTAACATTATGCTACCAGACCCCATTAGCAGCACATGTTTAATCGGACCCTTCTGCTGGTTTGTGCTATGAAGACAGCTATTTACAGCCAACTAGAATTTTTCACATTTTAGCAAAATAGTGATGCTCTTTGCTGTGCTGATGATTCCAATGTGTTCTAATAATCATCTTTTCTTTGGTAGTGTTGATCTTTTTCTTTGCAACATCTGCAGGAAGTTCAAAGGAACCATGTAGAAGTACATGATGGGGAAATAAATATAATGTTGGATTTATCATGCGAACTAGTACAGGCAAACACACAACAATGGTGCAGCAATTTTTTTTAGAGCAACATTATAACATAATAGCTAACAGTGGCTGCCGCTCTCACTGTAATCTCTCGTTCGTGGTATTTTTTACCAACCAAGTAATGAAACGTCCACCAGTGTTAAATGGTGTAAGTAAATGTTCAGTCCTTTGCTTGGAGGTACAGTAGGATCTCGCCTACATTCATGAAACTTGTTTAAAAATAACCTTCTCTCAGAACCTTTCTTCGGTAGCAATATGCTGTGTGTGGATTTTTAGACATGTAATCTGTACATTGTTCTCAGTATTGATTTACAGCTGTGGATGACGGACTGAAACAAAGTAGAAAGGATGCTGCTCTGTTTCTTTTTGTTCGGCTGGACTCATTTAGGACTCCTCGGCTTTTCCTCCTCGGCTGTGAGTTTTGTTAAACCCTGATTACACGCCCGCTCAATTGTTGAAACCGCATCTCAAATCAATTGAATTAATCCCGCTGCTCGTTTCCCTTAAAATAGACACAGGCTGAATGGATTTCTAATGATTTTCTGATCACAATAGAAACAAAGACCTTTCGTACAGTGCTGAGGCTGCGATAACGGGAGGCATTAAAGAATCCCCGTAGACCCGAAGCTTCTAATAGTTCTGTAATTGCAGCTAACTAACCTGAAATAGAAACGCCTCTAAAAAGAGCGCCTGTCCACGTAAAGGAACTCGCCCAATGAGCGGCGTCCACGCCTCTTCACACACCCAGGGGTGCTGCAGGTCACATGCTGCACAAAGGACACACGCAGGACTTTCACTGCTGTTCGTGTCCTTCGTGCTCTCACTTATTTGCAGTTTCCACACTGTGTTTACGCTTTTTATCCACAACCCATCATCCTTTATTTTAAAACCATAACCGAGTACGTTCTGTTGCATAACTTGAAAAATGACTTTGTTTCGTAAATGTCAACATTCAATATACACTGTATCTGTGGTTTGCATAAATGTACAATGTAAAAGTCTTCTCTGGTGACGTGTTCTGACCGCTTCAGATCATATTTCTCCTCCATCAGGGGGGACAACACAGAATGCCGCCAAATATAACTGGGTGACATTTCTTTGCCGGGTCGTCGTCGTTAAAAAGAAAACAAATTGACGGTTGCGCCTTTTAAATTGAAAGTACTGTACATACGTGGTGAGCTGTGGAGAAAGCAGGAGGAGTAACCTAATGTTGTTTAGTCAAATGAAGACGAGACAGTCACACGGGCCCCGGGGAGCCAGCAACACACCATTTGATTTCCTGAGAACATAATTACACCACAGATTGGTTTTGGAACGCTCACCCTCCCCTGTTATTTTCCAAATGAAGTCCTGTGTCACTGTTGCGAGAAGCAGACCCCCCCCCCCCCCCCTCAAACCCCCTTAAACCCTTTGAAATTTAAATTGTTTCCAAGCGCTAGAATGTCGGGGCTCAGTCGGGAGCTCGATCGACTTTGATGAGGATGATGGATTGATGCCGCTTTTGATTGCCCCCGTCGACCTCCAGCCGGGCTGAGATCGTATTTTGGGAAGAGGAGAAGATGATGTGTTTGTGTAGCGTCTGTTTCACTTGAACTCCTCAGTCACCCAACTTAAAGAACCAGAGTCTACATGGTGTAAAGGCTTCCGTGGACGTAACGCGAGGCGGTGACTGTGGGGGTAACACAGGTTTGATCGTCCATAAAAAGGTATAATAGCAATCAACTTTGTATCTGGTGATTTTGATACTAGAGAAGGTTATGAATACATCTGGGTAGCTTTTCTGAGCATTTGGGTTCTTCCTTAGAATAGACATTATAGATGGAACTTTTATCCAAACTGTGTCTGAAATACTAACAAAGAAATGTGGTTGTATTTGTCAGAAGATTTGGTTTTAATGCATTTTTCTCATTAAACATGAGCTCTACACAACATGTTTCAACGTGTTATTGAATGACTGTCAGTTATGTTATGTGACTTATGATGTAGCAGTAACTCTTTTAATTATGAATTGGCACGAGATGCGTCAATGCGCTTCGGATAAGAGGCAATAAAATATCCAATGAATTAATAAATGATCACTTTCCCTCTGACCATTCAAGCAACGGATTACATTAAATTAAACTTCATTAGTTAATGCAGAATTTAGATCCTTCAACAAAGCGATTAGTCTGGATACGACGAAGATGATCAATCTATTATATTTATACTGAGAATACTCATCAAATGCAAACTACAGCCACTGTACATGGAGATGGATGACATCACCGATCGCCTGAA